AGTATTTGAGCCATTTGGCTCAGAGTGTTTTGCTGAAAGCATCCCTGTGTACAGACCCCTCTCACAGCCTCAGTCCTCCCATCTCTGTAAAGGAGCCAGGTTGCTCTGTCTGCTAAAAAGACCAAGAAGCAAACATATGGCACTGAGCTCAATGGCACTGAGCACACCTAGCACCCAGATCTTGGTTTCTAATACCATTCCTCACTAAAAGGACCCAAGGCTCCTTGGGGGAAATGTCTGATTTCAGGGTTGGGACAGACAAAAGATGAAGTACAGATTAGCCTGGAAATCTTGTTATGCCATAAAGTTAAGGAAGTGTTTTAAAAAAAATATGGGTAATAAACTATAACCATGGAAAAAATAGGAATTCATGACTCTGTTTTACAATAAAGGGACAAATGAGGGAAAAGAGATGGACTTTTGTTTATAATAGAATGCTGAGTGTTGACTGGCAAATGCAGAGGTGGTACCAACGCTGGAAAATCATTATTTTGCAACCATTATGGTATATATGGGATAAAAGAAGAATTATCAATGAATGCTCAATCTGGGAAATTTTGATAAGGAGCCAGATATTTGCCTGATATTAAAGTACCTGCCCATAGAGTGCTTATTAATTGCAAAGGAGAATTATATAGTGGAGGAATTGGATGTCGCCTCAGCTGAGTGATCAAAACTAACATCACAGAGGAGGGATGATTGGACGTTGACTGTATCCAGATAGAATACCTTCACAGCTGAACACACCTCATATATTATGGTGGAGAATGTATAACCTGAAACTAATCATCACAAGGAAAAATTAGACAAACTCAAAATGTGGAACTTCTATTTTTAAAAGAGCGAGGAGTTGCTCTTCCAAAATGTCAATATCATAAATATGGAAATATTCCAGATTAAAAGAGGCTAAAGAGACATGACAACTAAATGTAATGCCTGACCTCAGATTGGATCCTGAACTGCAGAGGGAACTGCTATGAAGGACATCGTTGGGTTGGTCACCTGGCAAGATTGGAATACCACCAGTAGATTAGATAAAAGTATTGCATAAATGTTACATTACTGAGGTTGATTACTGTGGTTATGTTAGAGAATATCTCTATTCTTAGGAAATACAAACTGAACAATGTACGGGTGAAGGGCCATGGTGTGTGTAAATAACTCCTACATGCCCCAGGAAATATGTGTGTCTATTGAGGAACAAAAACCAGCTAATGCTGTAAAAATCTGCCCTGCCATCCACCTACAGATCCAGATAAAGCCAGCTGCAAAGTTGCCAGGAAACATTTCATCCAGGGACGCGAGGCAGCTGTAATGTGTCCTAACAACCCCCTTTGTGAGTGGCTAATGCCATTTTACCCACGGAGAAACCTTGATCTCTAAAATTATAGACTGTTGGAAACTTTGCTGTTTGAAGGTACATGCATGAGAATGAAACAGCCTAATCTTTCTTGCCTGGATGATCTCAGCCACTTTGACACATAAGAAACCTCGGATTTCCAGCCCTGGTGCAGAGCTTTAAATAGTTTCTGGGCACGACATGCCACATTTATATTAACATTGTAGTTTCCAAGGAAACAAGATCCTGGGTCCACTTTGCAGTTCAGACCTGATGTTGACTCACTTATATACATTCCTGCTTTGTTCTGAACCTATCAAAACACTGTTTCACTTAAGTTTCAACCAAATTTCTCTCTTCTCCCAAATCCTATAACTCAGTCACAGCTCCTCCTCTGGAGTGTGGTCTCCCTCATTGTAATGGGCCGACAAATCTGATTTGGGTTTTGGCCTTCCTGATTGTGCTAGGATGGGTGAGTGGAGGGATGGATATATAGAATGATAAAGCCAAAAATGGGGTAAACTGTTAACAATAAACAAATCTGGATAAAGAGTATGTGTATGTACTACAGTATTCATATTTGGGCAGGTTATCAAAAAGTTTTAAATTATTTCCAAATAAAAAGTTTCGTCTTTGTTTTTTGTTGTTTTGTAAGAAACTAGGTTGGTTTGAACCGGTGTTTAGCAGACTTTTTCCAGGCAAAGGAAGAAACTTTATATCGAATTTCATATTCTAATTCAGTACATACTCAAATGCCTAAATGTTGAAAGATATTTTTTTACCATGTTCTACACATACTGATATTTCATATGACTTTATTTCACTTTTTAAAAATTGGTTATGATCTACCCATAGAAATCCATACGTGCTTTGAAAAACTTGTCTGTAAGATCACAGCGCCGATTACAGTGTAAGAGAATGTTGATGTGTAAGCGAATGTTAATGGCTACGAGGCTTCGGCTTCCCTATCGGTGGGCACGAGACCGGACTACATTTCCCAAAATACCTCGAGGCGTGGAGAGGCGGGGCCTGAGCTCTGATTGGAGACTGCAGTTCTCTGACCTCACAGCGAGGGGCGTGGTCTCCCCCGCTTCTGGGAAATGTAGGCGAACCGCACGTGGGAGGACGGGGGTGGGGCTTGCGAGAGGACTTGGTGAGTCCCTGGAAGACTGCAGAAAGACGCGGCTCTGGGGAGGCGGTGTGAGGCCTGGCCCTCGGCTTCCCGGGATTTGTAGTCCTGCAAGCCCGCGCGGCCGCTGGTTCTTCCTCCGCTGGCTCATCGCGAGTCCTGCCCTTCCTCTACTACTTCCCTGGGGTCCCTTAACACATGGGTCCCAGTCAGCTGCTGAGGCCTCCCCTGGTCCATGCTTTGGCCTCGCACACCGCAGGCGCCCCGCGGAAAGCCAGGGGGGGAGCATTGGCAATCTCCGGCCCACGGGAGGCCTGGGCGGGCTTCCTAGAGGGGAGAGGGGAGGTTTCTTCCTACACGCACACTGGACTCGGGAATCGGCACCGAAGGCCGCGTTCAGCCGTGCTCTTCTGGTGCATAAACAGTCTTTGTAGACGCTCTGCACTCCCCACTTTGGACCTCTCTGCATGCCCACGCCTCCGCCCCTGGACTTGGACAGGGGACTTCGTATAGTAGCCCTGGGCCCTGTCAGGGAGGCATGCATTGACCAGACAGTGCACCTAAAGTGATGCGGAAAGCTCCAGACCCTGCGGGAAGCCAGAGGAGGTGCCTGACCCCAGCCTGGGGGGTGGGAGGGGGGGCAGGGAGAACAAGCAGCAGAGATCCGGGGCATCTCAGAGTCCCCAGCTTGATCCTATAGAGGCATTTTCATTCAAAGGGCTCCCATGTGCCAGGCGTGCCAGGACACGGAGTTGGTCATAAGCAGTCCTGACCCCCATCCCCACCAGGAGTGTCTCCCAGACTGGCTGATCGGGGCTGGGTCAGGAAGAGGAGTCAGCAGTTTTGAGACACTAAAGGGGCCCCCAGGGGGAAGGCTAGCTGTTTGGGGTGACATGTTAGCCGATTCTTGGAAGTGGGTGTTCACCCCCATAGAGAAGGGAAGGGAGGGCAGGGATCTTTGCATGGGCAAAGGCACAACATCCGGAGAGAGCCTGCAGAGGGGAAGGGGAGGTTGAATTGCCGAGTGAGGCACAGATCTGGGCAGGGCAAAGACCCCCTGTGTCCTGCTCTATTCTGGGAAATAGGTATATTATGTCCATTGTACATACAGGACACTGGGAAATGGCCAAGTTATTTCTCACTCCAGTTTGCGCACTAGGTAAGTGGTTGAGATAGGACTAGAACCTGGATCATGTGGCTGCAGAATCCAGGCAGGTAATGGTCATGCTGCCCCATCCACATACTTTCCAAAAGGGAAGCTCTGTGAGCGAGGGGACCCTTCCAGGAAAGAGGAGGTACTCATCAGTGTCTGCCTAACCCACTCTCTGGTTGGCTATGAGATGTGCTGCTGCCCATCCCCACCCTGGAGAAACTAAAGCTCAGAGTGGAAAGAATTTTAAGCAAGGTTTTTGGTCCCCTGATTGAAGCCCTACTGTTGACAGGCCACAACCACCCCCACCTCCCAATCGGGTACTTCCTATGAGGCTGTGGGGCTGAGAAATGACTCTTGAAGGGACAAGGGTGGGTGATCTCTTCTAGAGATGACAGGGATGGCTAGCTCCTCCTACAGGTGGATCCGGCGGTGACACTTTGGCGGTGGTGGCACAGCTGAGGGAGAGGAAGGGACAAAGATGAAAGGACAGACAGGGTCACATCCCCATTCCTGGGCTCCATGATGCCAACACCAGGGGAGGCACTGGGGTGATTTGCAAAGAAGACCCTTTCCCCCAAACAGTGCTGTCCGCAATGCTGAGGCCCAGACTGGCCGACTTCTAGGTGTCCTCACTGCCTCCAGGGCATACAAGTATGAAAAATGGTGAGGGAGGAAGGTAGCGTGTGGCTCACGTTCCACCATTTCCCAAATGCACATTTTCCTGGTCTCACCTGATCATCCCAAGAGCCACCCAAAGTAGGGGGTAACTGTGCCCATGTTCAGATGAGGAAACAGATTCAGAGAGGTGAAGGGACTGGCTTGTGGTCTCACGGGCAGGAAGTATAGGAGGGAGTATTGGGATGGAGCATAAGCTTCAACGCTGGGTGGGTCCTTAAGTTTGTGTCTCCACATGTGCCCCTGGGGGTGAGGGAGAGGAAAAGGAGTAGAGGGTCTCTCACCTCAGACCAGGGCCTGATATTACCTGAAATGGCACCACCTAGGGAAACACGTTTGGGACATACTAAACAAAATGAAACGTGCTCTTTCTTGCAGGACTTGTCAGAGCCTTTAGTTCCTTTGTGTTTCCCAGATCTCTTTGGCCAGGCCTGGAACAAGGATTGACAGGCCCTAGGTCTCAAAGGCCGTGAGACGGGGCACCATGAAGGTGGAGGTGTCTGCAGTGTGTGCACGTGTGTACTCCGGGCATCGATGTGCAGGAGCAGATGACCATGTATGCACACGCACATGTGGTCTCTATCACTCTGACTCAAATACCTGGAAAAGCAGAACAGGACAGGCACCCAAAGGCCAGGGTCTGTCCCTTCCTAGCTTCCCCTGCGGCGAGTTAAAGGCCAAAAGCGCTTCCACCGCCGCTCAAATCTGAATCCACAAGGCTTTATTGGCACCGGACGGACCTCGCCCGGGGCCCGCCGCTTCAGGCAAAGGCCTCGGAGGGGTCCGGCCCCGCAGAAACCTCCCGGGAGCGCCCCCCGCCTGGGGACAGGGGAGGAAGGGCGTTCCCGGAGGGCGGAGGGTGGAGGGCGGAGGGTGCACGGCGGCGCAGGCGAGGCCGGGTGTGGTGGGACAGCCAGGGGACCGGCCGGCTAGAAGGGGAACTCGCAGACGTAGTAGAGGCGCCGCTCGCAGCCGTGGTCCCACCAGGACCCGTCATCAGAAGCCTGCGCCACGCAGTTCTCGAGCGCTCCGCCGTTGGGCTGGTCGGGGCTGAGCGGGTGCGGCGCAGCGCTGGGCCGGGCGCCCGGCTCGGGGCGCGGCGCGCGGTGCCAGGCGAAGAAGGACACGCGCTGGCCGTTCTCGAAGAGGTAGAGGCCCTCGGCGCGCCGGTCGTGCACGCCCAGCCACACCGGCCAGTTGTAGGGAGCGAGCGCCCCGCGCAGGTAGCGAGTGAGCGCTTCCATCTGCTGGCGGTCGGCCGGCTGCGCCAGAGTCCCGCCCCGCGCCACGCACCGCGCCTGCGCCGCCGCCTGCGCCTCGAAGTCGCGCGAGAGCAGGAAGCACTTGTGGCCAAGGCGCAGCCCCTTCAGGCAGCCTGCGGGCGGGGCGGGGAGAAGGGGGCGGGCTCAGGGCCTTCGGGGGCGGGCGGAAGGAGGGGCCAGGACGTCGCAGGGCAGCAGGAGGCGGGGTCAGAGCCTTTGGGGGCGGGCCGGGAGGAGGGGCCAGGACGTCGCGGGGCGGAAGGAGGCGGGGTCGGGGCCTCCGAGGGGCGGGCCGGGAGGAGGGGCCAGGACGTCGCGGGGCGGGAGAAGGCGGGGTCAGGGCCTCCGAGGGGCGGGCCAGGAGGATGGGCCAGGACGTCGCGGGGCGGGAGGAGGCGGGGTCAGGGCCTCCGAGGGGCGGGCCGGGAGGAGGGGCCAGGACGTCGCGGGGCGGCAGGAGGCGGGGTCGGGGCCTCCGAGGGGCGGGCCGGAAGGAGGCGGGGTCACAACCGCAGGGAGCAATGAGGCGGAGAGCCAGGCCCGCCGGGGCGGGGCCAGACTGTGGGGCGGGCCTGTGGGGGGCGTGGCGCGGCCCGACTGGGGTCCGCGCGGCTGAGAGCCAGAGGACCGCCTCGCCCACCGCCCGCCCTGCCCGCCGCGCTCACCCTCCCCGCCAGCTCACCTCCCCATGCGCCAACACGCCCAGCTTGCCAGGGCCGCTCCCGCCTCCGACACCCGGGGTCCTCACCGCCCCTCGGGTCTCTCGGGGACCAGTCCTCTCACGGGTTCCCCACCTGGCCCAGATCGGCCCATTTTTCCCGCCCGGCGCGGCGCGGCGCGGACTCACCCTCCAAGCGGCCGTGCTCGCGCTCGGCGCGGCGCTGCGCCTCCTGCAGGTCTTGCACAGCGTCGCGGGTGTCGCCCGCCGCCTCCCGCAGCTGCCGCAGCCCCCGGGCCAGCTCGACCACGCGAGTGTCCAGCGCGTGCAGACGGACGTGCAGCTGGTGCAGGCCTGCGTCCAGGCCGGCCAGGCGGCCCACTGAGGATGGACAGGGCTCGCGCTGGAGGGGGAGCCTGGGCGCGGCGGGGGGACCCGAGGACCTCGGGGAACCGGGACCTAGGGCTCCTGAGGGCGGGGTTGGGGGAGGGGACCCGGGACACCTGGAAGGTGGGGTCCAGTGGCCCTGGCTCTTGGGAGGCGAAGCCCGAGACCCGGGACTCCTAGGGAAGTGGGGGCTCAGGGCTGGACGTTGAGCAACTGAAAGGCCACTGGGCAGTGAACTGACGATTCATTTTTGTGAAAGTGACTGCAGAGGTCTGGGGTCAGGGTGGGACTTCTGGCTACTCACGGATATAAGTGACGGTGTCCTCAGGGGTGGGAGAGGGGCTAGGGCTGGAGGAGGGGGTTGCCGTTGCTTCCTCCTCCTCTTCCTCCTCGTAGTCCTCCTCAGTCTCCCAGGTCCCTTTGCCTTCCCGGGTCCCGACAGGATTCTCCGGATTCTCATCCCCCCTCCCAGTTGGCAGCCCCAGGGCTTCCTGCAAATGCTGGGGTCGGGGAGGTGTGGTCTGCCCCAGCCTGCCTCCCAAGACACCCCGCGCTCCCCCCTCCAACTCTAAACTCACTCCTTGCCGCCTGAGTCCTCTCTCCGAACCCATCACCCCCGTCCTCTGAACCTGTCCCCGTCGTTCCCCCTTGCCCATTTCCCTGATCCTGAAACACCCCCTCCCAAGCTCCGGGTTTGCCCTTAGAGTCCCCACCCCACATCTCACCTTCAACATCAGGGCCTCCCTCTCCCGCTCCTCCTCCTGGGCGCCTCCCCAGCCTCCCTCCCACTCCCGCTCAGCTCCCCGAGCCCCATGGCCAAAGCCCAAGAGCTGGGGGATCACCAGGGCCCCGAGAAGCCAGGCTGCCTGCATCAGGTCGCAGATGGCTCGGTGTCTGGGGTGGGAGGTGGTCTCTGGGGACCGGCAAGCACCCCCTGTCCTGTGTGGATCACTAGCCCCCTGGTTCTGTGCTCTCTCAGTGTCTCTCTTCCTGTCCCTCTCCTCCCCACTCTTGTCTCTGTCAATCCTCTGGTCTCCTCTGCTCCTCTGTGTGTGTCTCTCCCCGCCCCTCTTGGCTCCCCGGAGGCCCTGCCTTTGTGGCCGGAAACCTCCAACGTTCCAAAGCCTGGATCCCGCCTTGGGTCTTCTCACACACGCCCCTCTTTCCACTTTCCAGAGCTCACTTCCGCCCTGCTTGTTCCTTCTGCCATGGGCCAAAGCTCAGATGGTCGGGAAGAGAATGGAGCCGGCTCCCCAGCAGATCCTGGGGACCGCATGCCTGTCCACCCCTGAACCTCCTCAGGGCGGGCTAGCTGGGCAATGGTGGAGTGCTCTGGCTCAGCCCTGCTCCCTTCTCCACCGCCCCCTGCCCCGGCGTCCCTAAGGAGGCGGCAGACCTCAGGGTCTTGCTGAGGTTGTTATTTCCCTGTGGCCACCATCGCCCACATGCCCTGATGGTGGAGAGGCTCTTCCGCCACTCCCATGCTCCAGGGTGCCTCCTGCCCCCAGACCACCCATCCCACATTCCAAGCCCTTGCCCGGAGATGCAAGTGAGTGTGCGTGCTTGTGTCTGTGGGGACACATGTGAAGAACATGTGTGTGCTGTGTGCACAGCCCTGGAAGGTGGGGCTCCAGGATTCATTGGCCCCACTTTGCTAGAAGCCTTCTGCAGGTGGGGCCCTGGGCAGGGTGACGCTGGGCATTCCAGCTTCTTGCAGACCAGCAGCCAGATAGTCTCCAGGGTGGGAGGGCGGGGAGTGGGGAAGAGCAGTCAGTAAAGATTTCTCCAGGAGGTGAAATAGACAGGTGCCCGGCTGGGTGCACAGAGAGCTCTCTGAGCATTTGGCCAGCTGCCTCACCCCAGCCTGGACCACTGCAGTCGCCGGCTCCCTGCCCTCCCCCTCCTTCCTTTTTCCTGAGCCCCTCCAATCCTGCTGCTTGCCGCAGCAGCCAGAGCAATTCTTCCAAACCATAAATCAGAGCACATCACTCCCCACTCCCCTGCTCCTCCACCTTCCCATCACAGGCAGGAGAGAAGCCAAACCCTGCCCTCAGCCAGCAAGGCTCAGGGCTGGGAGGGAGGAACCCCTTGCAGCTCTGCAACCTCACCCCTCCCCTCTGCCCCAGGCCTCTGCCTGCCTCTTTGCCGTTCCTTGAATGCTAAGCTCATGGCCCCCTCAATCCTTTGCACTAGCCCTCTCCTCCTTCTAGAAGGCTCTTCCCCAGCTCCTTCTCATTGTTGTCCCAGGAGTGTGCACGTGTGCCCTGCCCCTGTGCTTAGGTGGAAGGGGTGTGTGTGTGTGTTTGAGGGGCCAGGACAGAAATCTACAGCCCTCACAATCCAATTTGGGGGTGTAGAGTCTGGCAACACTTATTGCACCCCACTGAGTGTAGAGGGGGTAGGGCGCTCTCTGGGAGGGGCAGTCCTGGGGTGTGTGTGAGGAGCCCTAAGAGGGGCTGGACCCCTTCAAGGCCAAGAGGCCATCCCCAGCCACCTTTCCTAAAGAAGCTTCTGCTCCACAAGTTACTTTATCAAAACACCCCATTTTATCTTTTTGGCATAATCAAGACTGGCATGATCTTGTTTGTTTATGTCGGTCCTCTGCCAATGGAGGCCGGGTTCTTCTGCACCGCTGTTTCCCCAGGGCTAGCACCAGGCCCCCCTTAGCGCATAGTAGGTGCCCGATCCAGATCCATCTCGTGTGAGTAAGGAGGTAGCAGATAATGCCTTGGCCAAAGGCCTGGGGGCTTGACCTCTGTGTTTAGGGCCAGGGTGGAGGTGGTGAGGGGAGAGGGAGAGTGGCGCGGAGGCCAGGGAAGCAGGAGGCCATGTCATGGCCTCTCTGCCAGGCCCATGAGTCACGCAGGGCTTTTCCAGCCTAGGCCAGGCTGGTCGTGCCAACGAGCATGGAGCTCACCAGCCAGGGATCACTGGGCCCGCTCTTGAAAGGAGGAAACCGAGGCTCTGAGAGGGGACAGTGTAGCCTGCTGGAGGTCACCAGCATGGAGGCAGCTAGCCAAGGCTTCTGGCTCCAAGCAACAGCAGGCTATCTGCCCTGGGCTGCCCAGAGCCCTAGGAGGGGCCTTGGAAATCAACGCGTCCAACCTTCCGTTTTCTAAGAAAGCCTGGTCCTTCGAGGGCAGTGTGACCTTGGGCAGGCTGCTCACTGCCTCCGAGGCCAGGCCGGGGCTCTGAGGTGCCCATCAGAGGCCCAGGGGCCCTGCTCCAGGGCACAGAGACCTCAAGGGATATAATGCATGGGCTGGGGAAGGCCTTGTAAACTGTAGAGGGGTGCACAGCCTCTGTCAGTGCTGGCACCAGCATGGGCAGCTGTTCTGTCTCCAGGCCCAGCTGCTCGCCACCTGGGCTGGTGGGTGTGTATCAAGATAGGGGCCACCCCAGGCTGGGCGAGCACCTGCTCCGGCTCATACCCGGATCTCCCGTAGAGCCTGCAGCTGGCCCCAGCCTGTGCTTGGCTGGAGGCGCCGGAGGTGCTGTTGGAACTGGGAGAAGGTGGAAGCCGGGACTCACCGCTGCCCTGTGGGATCTGCCCTGTCTCTGTGGGTGTGTTGCAGGCATGAGTGAGCTGTCTGCACACAGCTGGCCACATGTGCATGTGCGCACACATGTATGTGTGCTCTGAAGAGATGGTTGAGCATGTCTGAACAAGGACATGCAACGATATTGGTGCCCATAGTTCACAATAGCAGTGGAGTGAAGACTTTGAAGCCAGCCTACCCATCCACGATCCTTGACACCACCTCTTGACAGCTGGTTGACCTTGGCCAAGTTACTTGGCCTCTCTGTGCCTCAGTTTCCCCCTGCGGAAAAAAAAACGGAAACAGCAAGTGTCCCCAAGCCTGGCACACAGGAGGTGCTCAAGGAATGCCAGCAATCACCATCTTGGAGGGGAGCGCTGTTGTGCGTCTACACAGCTGCGTGCGTGCCAGTGTGATGGGCAGTTGGGGGGTGACTGTGGCGGGGAGGCAGACACACATCTCCCTGCAGGGGGATGTCTCCATTTTGGGGTCGTGAGACCTGGGCGTGCATACCTGCCTGCACACTCGTGTGTGATGGGCAGATCCGTGTCCTGTGCTGCGTGTGTGCCCTGGCGCAGGGGTGTGACATGGATGTGGTCATGCGCCCCCAGGTGCACTGTGTCCGAGTGTGCATGCCCCGCAGAGTGTGTGGGGGGGGTGTCTGCAGGTGCTGTGCCAGCCGGTGACTCTGTGCACCTGTGTCTCGGCAGACTGTGGACCTGTCCCAGGAGTGTGCACGTGTGCCCTGCCCCTGTGCCTAGGTGGAAGGGGTGTGTGTGTGTGTATGTGTGTGTGTGTGTGTTTGAGGGGCCAGGACAGAAATCTACAGCCCTCACAATCCAATTTGGGGGTGTAGAGTCTGGCAACACTTATTGCACCCCACTGAGTGTAGAGGGGGTAGGGCGCTCTCTGGGAGGGGCAGTCCTGGGGTGTGTGTGAGGAGCCCTAAGAGGGGCTGGACCCCTTCACTGGGGTAAGAGAGCAAGCAGGGGTGGAGTCAGGACTTGGGGACCTGGAGGTGGAGAAGAGTGGTGGGGGAGGGAAGGGGCAGGGGGCGGAGCCGACGGTGGGGGGGATGGGCGAGGTTTGGGGGCGCGGGGAGGGGCGATGTCTCCTCTGCCGGCTCCCGGAGGGAGGGGAGAGGGCGGAGGGAGGGGAGGGAGGGAGAGAGGGAGGGAGAGAGAGACAGGGTGAGGGAGAGACAGCGAGCGCGAGAGAGCGAGAAGGGTGGCAGAGGAGGCGCGGAGCGGGCGGCGGCGGCGGCGGCGGCGGCGGCGGCGGCGGCGGCGGCGGCGGCCTGAGGAAGAGGAGGAGGAAGAGCAGGCGGAGACGCGGCGCCCGGAGCCGGCCGGACCGAGCCGGGGGCGGGCGAGGAGGGGCGCGGCGGCCGCGGCGGAAGGGGGGGCGCTCTGCGGATGGCCAGGCCCGGCCCGTGGGGGGGGTGAGGTCCTCGGCCCTCCCGCCCTCCCCCCCGGCCCCCGCCCGCCCCCTCCCCGGGCCCGCTTGCCCTCCGGGGCGGTGGGGCATGGCCTGAGGGTCCCCCGTCTCCGGGGGGGGTGGGGGGTGGGGGGAGGGGGGAGGGGCCGCGGGCGCCGCCGACCGGGACTCAGCAGCCCCGCCAGGCAGGTAAGGCGGCCGGGAACCGCGGTTCTGGGGGAGCTGCGGGGTCGGGGCCGCGGGAGGGGGCGGGGGCGCCCCGGACGTCCTTGGCCCGGCGCCGGCCAGGGCCTGGGTGTGCGGTGGGGGGTGTGGGTGAGGAGGGGAGCGTTGCCCCAGGCGACGCCAAATTGGGTAACGCCCCAGTCCCCGGTGCCCCGTCCCAGATCTCAACCTTGATGGGAGGGTGCGACCCCCGTCCCCCGCCGGCAGAGCCCCTCGCCCGAACCCGCCTCCCAGCTCTCCAGGGCGAAGGGCTAGGTCGCCGTACCCGCCTCCCGGCGCTGCCCGGCCACTCCCCCGCCTTGCCCACCCTGGCGCACCTGGGCCCCTCCCCCAGGTCACCCTGGTGCCCACTCCCGTCCAGCGGGGGTCTAGGCCTTGGCCTCTCCGCCCCCTTCGACCCCCTCTAGCTCGTGCTTCTCCTTCCAGGCTCTTCCAGTCCCTTCCCTCCCCTCGCCCAAGCTCCCACCATCCCCACCCGTCTCCAGTCCCTTCTCGCCGGCCGGCGCGCCCCCTCGACTCCCGCCCCCAGTCCCGCTCCCGGTGCCCCCGCCCCCTGCCGGCCCGGGCTTTCCCCCGCCGGTGTCGCCGCCCCGGCCCGCTTTCTCCCCGCCTCCCTCCGCCTCCATTCATTCTCGCGGCCCGGCTCGCGGCCACGCCAGCCGCCCCCTGTCCCCTCGCAGCCTCCCAGGGCACCCCCTCTCTCCCCTTCTCCACCCCCCCCCCCCCCCCCCCCCCCCCCCCCCCCCCCCCCCCCCCCCCCCCCCCCCCCGCCGATTCCTCAGCCCGTCTCGGTACCAGCTGCGTGCCAGCTATTCTTAGCCGCCGAGCGTTTGATTCATGCCGCCCCGGCGGAGTGTGCCCGCTCCCTCCCGCGAGGCCTGAGGGGGAGGGGCCGAGCTGGTCGGGGGTTGGGGCAGCCGTGCGCGCGGGGGGCCCGGCCGGATTCGCTTTCATCCCTGCGGCCACCCGGTCCGTGCGCGGCTGCCGCTGGGGGTCAGCCAGGGTCAGCCGAGGGGGAGTGGCTGCGGGCCGGATCCGGAGGTGGGATGTGGGGTGGGGCAGGGAGAGGGGTGAGAAGGGGGCCGGGGTCTCCTAGGGCAAGTCGGGGCAGCGCGGCTGGGTACCTGGAGGGGGAGGGGGCTTCGAAGCGCCGGCCACGCGTGGGGGAGGGGCCGCCGGCCCGTGTTAGATGCTCGCTCGCCCACAGCTCCTGGAACTGTCCTCCACACACACACATTTCGCCTTCCCTTCCCCAACCCCCTAGCCCATCCCCACTCCCCCAAAGTCGGCAGTACCCTCCACTGCTTCCCATCTCCATGGCAACTGTGCAGGAGCCGGCCTGGTGTGGGGGGGAGGGACCAGACCAGACATTTGGTTTCCGGTGCTGGGGTGGGAGTGGGGGAGAACAGGAGGGAGGCGGACCCCATTTGGAAGGGGCCCACCCTCATAAGGCCACCTCAGGGAACAGCAGGGATCCGGAGATGACCCTCACCCCAGTCCCCAAACCTCGCATCACTTCTTAGCCTCCCTACCAGCTGCCCACAGTCCCCCTCAGAGTGGAACCCCAGCACCTGGCAGTGCCAGCCCACCCACCCTGCGGCACCGTCCACAGCCTCCCCACTCCAGCCCAGGCCACCACACTGTCACCCGGCCAGTGCTCCCCAGGCCAGCCTCCCCACCACCCACACACCCCCTCAAGACGCTCCTGCAACCTCCATAGGCCACCTGTTGTGGTTCCCTTGGGATACCCTGGGTAAGGTGCTCTGGCCATGGCACCCCCATCCCAGTGCCCTTTGCTCCCCTGGCATGGCCACTTCCCCGGCAGTCTCAGCACACATTGTCTGCCACACTTGAGTGAAGTCACCAGCGCCACCACTCCCTGGCACGCGAGGCTTGGGCTTCAGCTGCCCGGCTCGCCACGCCTCTACCTCCCCACGCCTCTACCTCCCCTGCCACACCTCAGCCCCAGTCCCCCACCCAGCCCAGGTGAAGGGCCAGGCTGGGGCCAGGAGGGCAGGATGCCTGTCGGCTGGTCCACCTGTCTGTCCTCAGCTAATTTTAGCTGCATTTTTCTGTGGCCTGACAAAGTGGGCCAGTAGCTCCCGCGGTGATTCTGCGGTTTCTGGGACACGGCCACGCTGGGTCAGCGGCAAAGTGGGGCGCAGGGGGGGCGGGGGGCTGCAAGCAGGGCCAAGGGCAGGGAAGGAGACACGTGCTGCCAGCGTGTCAGTCCAGGGGCGTGTGCTTGCCGACGAGGAGGCGAGGAGGCAGCAGGTCTGAGGGTGTGCCCAGCCTCGCTCCTGCCCCTCGGCAGTGGGGGGAGGCTGCCCTTGGCCGCTTGTCCACTGAGTGGTGCTTGTGACCTCTGCGGAGCCCTGGGCTCCCAGTCTGACAGCCGCCCTTGGCCCCTGCAGCCGCCTGTGATGCTGCCGTCCCCCGTCGCCCCGTGGCCCCACAATGACCCACAGCCCCGCAACAAGCGAGGAAGAGGAACGCCACAGTGTCAGCGAGTGTCCCGAGGGGGGCTCAGAGTCCGAAAGCTCCCCAGACGGGCCAGGGAGAGGCCCCCGGGGGACCCGGGGCCGGGGCAGCGGGACACCTGGTAGCCTGGCCTCCGTTAGAGGCCTCCAGGGCCGCTCCATGTCCGTCCCGGACGACGCCCACTTCAGCATGATGGTCTTCAGGATTGGCATCCCGGACCTGCACCAGACGGTGAGTGACCGCTTGCTGGCCGGTGGGGGGAGGCGGTCGGGGACGGGCCCCGACAGGCATGAGGAGGCCTCTGGTGCTGGGCGTCCTCCCAGGAAGCCCCTCAGCCCCCTTTCCACAGGCTTCCCCACCTCCCCCGCCTGTCCCCAGAATCCCCCCACGCCCAGCTTTCTGCTCCCTTCCTGTCCCACCTCGGTGTCCTCCTTGGCCCCTGACCCACCCTAGCCCCCGCCTGCCCCCTCCCCCACCAGAAATGCCTGCGCTTCAACCCCGATGCCACCATCTGGACGGCCAAGCAGCAGGTGCTGTGTGCCCTGAGTGAGAGCCTGCAGGACGTGCTCAACTACGGCCTGTTCCAGCCGGCCACCTCAGGCCGGGACGCCAACTTCCTGGAGGAGGAGCGGCTGCTGCGGGAGTACCCCCAGTCCTTCGAGAAGGGGGTGCCCTACCTGGAGGTGAGGCCAGAGCTCTCCCCGCCCCTTCCCTGGCAAGAGAAGGCATGCCCCGCCACATATCTGACACCCCCCGACCCCTGTGTTTATCCCACCCAAGACCTCAACGGAGAACCCAGGGGGTTATTCCAGATCTCCCGTGGGAACGACCTGCAGAGGCCTCAGTTCACATTCCGTCTGTGCTGCCTCTGACCAGCTGAGTGGCCTTGGGCAAGTCACTTCCCTGCCCCAAGCTTCTTGCCTATCCAGCTGGGGAAGGACTCCCATTACAGTAGGCATTCTAGAACATTCCATGTGAGCTCCAGACTCCTTCTCCTTCAAGGCAGGGGTTGCAGTGCACATACACCACGATGGCCTGGCTCTCTCTGCCCACCCAGCCAAAGCTCCAGGCCTGTTTCCACTCCAACCCTGAGCTGTCCCCAGAGGACTAGAAGGAGCTGAGATCCTCCCCCCAGCCCAAACTTCCTCCCCAGACCCCTGAATTCAAGTCTCTGTGTTTCTCCCCCTCCCCCGCCCCGGCCTCAGTTCCGATACAAGACCCGAGTTTACAAACAGACCAACCTGGATGAGAAGCAGCTGGCCAAGTTGCACACGAAGGTGAGAAAACCCTGCTGGCATTTCCCTCCATAGCCCCCTACCACCTGGAGGCCCTGCACAGCCATTCTCTCTCCCCACCTCTTCCTACAGCCCTCACATTCCCTACCCCCTCTGTCCCTCCACCCCACTGAGCTTGGGATGCTGGGTCAAATTTGGGACAGCGCCAAGTACCCCCTCATTTTCCCCATTGCAACCCCTTCTTACTTCCCTCCTTTGCCCTCCTCCCCTGCCCAGGCCCACACCATTTCCATCTGGCTCCTTGGACTCCCCCTTTCTTCCTCTAAACCCCCCAAACCCACTCGGGGCCTCTGTACCCTCCACCTTGGCCTTGGACTCTGACATCCAGGGTCCTTCTGCTTAGCGACTGTTTCATAGACACACTGCAATGCAGTCCCCCATCTCATAGCCTAGATCGCTACTAAATCCAAGGATCGTACCCTCCTCTCCAGCCGTATCTATCCTCCTGCCACCTCGCTCTCCAGTCCTGCCAACCAATCTGCCCTGTGCCTCCCCTGCTTACCTAGGCGCTGGGAGGAAGTCGGGGGACTGCTTTGGTCAGAGATGGAGGATTCTTGACCCTTGGGCAGAAAAGCCTCCTGATCCCTCCTTCTCCACCCCTTCTCCCCACCACACCATGCATCTGACTCTTTCCTGTCCC